CCGCTATACAATGCTAAAATCTAAATTAAATATTTTGTACGTGCTATATGTTATCGAAATGCAAATTTAAACGCACTATTGCACTGACACATAGGCCTATGTGTATAATTGTATCAGTTTTATTATGATTATCACAAAACGTAAATAGTGTAAAAATTATTGTATTATAGGCCTACATTACAACGGAATGACACAACGCTGAAGTATTTGACAAGTCTGCTCTACTCTCGCTCTAGTTTAAATTTTAGATGGTAGATACTGTTAGCTATTTATCGTTCGACTTTAGAATATTACACTATATGCATAGTATATGCGTTGAGAATGCCGTTGAAATATATTCTGATCTTTTCAGGCGGTCAGATTTCGACCACCAGGCGGTCAGATTTCACAGCGTTTTGACATGATTTTCATCAGACCTTCGTTTTGCGCCTCCCACCCTCGAATTTTACGGCGAGCAAAACGAAGGTCTGTATTCAGGCTAAGTTTCAGATGGCATGCAACATGTACGCACTGCGTACCTATTTTTTGTTTTAATATCGATTTGAAAGAGCATAAGGATTCAGCAGTTTTCCCCCTATGGGGAATATCATTCCAATGCAATGCACCGTTAACTGAAGCGCCTCTTGCCGAATTCTCTTTTCGACATAGGTTGTACCAGAGGAGGTTGGAAGCTCTTCCTGCCATGCATTGCAACTCGTTAATATTCATAATCGTGATTTTTTACAATGTTAGTTGGAAAAGTTGTGGATATTTATTTCGATATTTCGCTACGAAAAGTTCGTATTTTTAAAGGTAAGTTTTTATAATTGTTTTAAATATGAGTCAAATTAACGATTTTTGCTTTATTTGGTGTTTTAACGACGTTTAGTTATATGCTAATCGCAATTTGTATTGACCTGTTTTTTACAATGTTAGTTGGAAAAGTAATTTTTTACGTTACACTTTACCATAGGCTCTCATTGTATGCGTATTGGTGACATGAAAATGTTGCAACAAATCTTAAGTATTTACTTTATATATAATTGTAACTTTTGAATAAAGCTTTTTATTAACATCAATTGTGTATGACCATGCATTATTACCACTAAATATCAGGGATGGATTTACTGGGGGTGTGCACCCCCACCTAGCCCTGGCCAGAGGGTATTTTGTGGGGTGTTCTATTTGCATTATAGAGCAAGAAATATTAGAGATGAAATGAGTAATTTGAGTAATAACATGATGATAAGCGAACTGTTAACAACAATTACAATTGAAATACAGTAGTCAAGCAAGACTTCTGTATTTCAAGCAACTCGGCACTAGAGCTGGCAGAGCACTCCTCCCCCTCCCTACAACATCATGCTGGATCCATCAGTGCTAAACATACAACAGTTAAAACAGTGTTTAGAACAAGTACACAAGGTGGACTACAATATAAAGTAGGGATTTGATAACTGCAGTAAACAAAAAAGGAATGGTAAAATTTTTTTTAAAAAAGGAATGGTAAAATTATAGTATCAAATATTTACCTGAAATAATAATTAACAGGAGTTTAATTAATAGGAATACATTGATATAAAAATCTCAACTGAAAATGTCTTGCTCATGTTCTACTTTAAATTCCAACTTGAGATTTTTTATCATCTATACATGATTATGACAAGAGCCTGCTGGTATCTTTAATCTCGCCAGGAACCAACTACAACAAACTTCTCAGGATACAATGTGTCTCCTCCACAAACCTTGTCCTTCAGAATCCTTGTCTCCATCACTCTCCTAATCAGAGCTGGAATTAATCACGTCTTTAGCATCACCAGTATCCTGTTCCACACCCTACAATTGGGTCAACTGCTGAATTTTGTCAATCTTGTCCATGTCTGCAACTCCACCTTCTGCATCAATACTTTAAACATCACTAGGCATCTCTTCACCATGAATTTCAACCAAACACATAGGATTTAATGGCTGCTTAATTAATGCAATTGCATAACAATGGCTCATCTAAATTCACCAGTGGTACTGTAGGTCATTCAGTATGTCCTCGAAAATATCCAGCTTGGGTGGTTGGATTGTTTCAGACGTTGGTGATTGAATAATGTTAAACTCCCACAACACAACAGAACACAACATAATTTGTCATCCTTTTTCCTGCAATCTTTTTGGTTGAAAAACTAGGTCAGGAGAATGTGAACATACTGCAACTTGCAGCCCACTTCAGCTCAGCTCAATTAAGAAATATTTTCAGTAAGTATGAAAGAAAAAATAAATGTACAATGGAACTTGTGAAATATGTTTTAAAACTAGTACTACAGGTTAAAAAATTTGATGCGTTTATACAGGGACGTTGGAACAATGAATAGGCAAAGAGGGGCAAACACGCACCAAGGGCACCTCTATCGACCTACAGTTATTTGTTGACTTGCCAATGAAAGCTGATTGTGCACGTTTCATTGACGATAGCTGTTCTGTATTTTAGCAATAAAGTCTACTCAAGGAACTTTAACTGCACAAACACACTTAATCAGGTCACATTCAAGTTCACACCTCATGTCTTTGCCCAAAACTGGATATAAGATTTAGCAAGGAGAATTTAATTTCTATAACTTAAAATGCACTTCTGCCCCCTTTTCCCATCCTTCCTGCTTTAATATTAAAATAGATTTGACTCATTTGATATAAAGTCAAATACTTGTATGATTTCCGAGTATTAATGGCCCGTTTTTCCACCAATTAAATGATAAATGAATCGTACCTTAAGGTCACAACTAGAATAGATTTCTATCAATGAAGGACTATCGCGTTCGGCGAACATAATCTTCAACTTTTACGCCGTTGTCGTTATCCATAAAACTAGAAGTTCACAGCGGCATAATTTCGAGTTCTACACACGACATCCCTTCACGAACAGCTCCAACATAAAGATTGTCACGTCCATCCAAATCAGTAACTTTGTTGCCACGAACAGTGCGAAAATTCACCATGATTACAATTTTCAATTTGTACTTTAGAATACCGCACCTTGTAATTGAGTGGTGAACACAACGAGAGCTAGTCGAACAATGACGGCGCGTCCCGGGAAATCGATAATATTAATGAGTTACAATGCATGCCGGGAAGAGCTTCCAACCTCCTCTGAGGTTGTGCTAAATCATTTTCCCTACTTCTGAGATTGTATGTATTATGTCTTTCATTATTAGATTGAAATGCTTCTTTAAGATTGCGTGTGCTGAGGTCATTCAACATTTTATGGATGAAACAGCATGATCTCTTCCCAAAATTAATTAAGGCTAAGTCTTAATTGTAAAAAGTGTTCAACTTAAGACATTGCCTTAATTTGAACCATAACCCCCACCCAACCCCCACTCTAACCTCTAGCCTTAACCCCAATTCAGTCTTGGTCTAACCCTAATCCGATCCTAATCTAAATCTGATGACCTTTTTTAAAATATTCCGCAGAAACAGAACAGATAGGCGTACCGGGCGGGGGGGGGGGTAGCTCCCCCAGTTTGTTGGGCAGTCGGGCAATATTCGATCAACAGTCGGGCAATTTTGGTTTGCAGTAAAAAAAATGGGACAAATTCTGTCAATTTTGTCTAAAATCAATTTTGTGGCCAATTTTGTGTTTTTTGGAAAATTTGTCTTATGTTCCGAAAAATTTTGGTTGTCCGGAAATTTTTTTTGACCCCTAAAATGGTACCGAAATTTTTTTTCCTTCCCGTACGCCCATGAGATCGAATCAATATGTTTATTAGAGCAGATAGAATCAATATGTCTATCCCAAGACAACCTTTCGTCCATATTCAAGGCAAGTCATGAATATTTATTCGTCCTGGGCACTTGGCTTATCATTAATTCAAATAGGATTGCTAGATAGTTTGTTCTTGAGGTTACAGAAAGATCCAAAGAACGTAAGTTTGTATCATTCATTTGCGTATATACTCAAGATCAATATTTATCTTGTCGACAAGGTAAGCCAGTCATTAGAAGATGCTTAAATTTCCGTGTCATCAACATAGAGTGAAGAAATTGAGTTACTTAACGAATCAGGCATTTCTAATAATTGCGCTTTGTTATTCACGTATGATTCGAAACATTTCAGTTGGTGTCCTGTTACAGCGAAAATATTGCGCATTTACAATCAGAATTTCATGATTTATGGAGTCAAGGCTTTTCTAACATCAAGAAAGGCTATACATGTTTTTAAGTATGTTATCACACATTTGCATTAAGGCAGACATAATTAATAAGTGTTTAGGTCTTAACTCTGATTGGAATTTAGATAATAATGAGTTATTGGAAAGATAGTCATACAGCTGTCGAAAAATCTTTTTCTCAAATACTTTACTTACAATGGAGAGAATGGAAATTTGTCTATAATTTTCACATTTCCGTCTATCTTCAGACTTGTAAATTGGAATTACTCGCGCGCGTTTCCGGTCATCAACACAAATACCACTGTCAAATGATAATTAAATTAAATATATATGTTAATGACGGAGCAATGATATCCGCAGAGAGTCTGAGAACATTGGCTGGAATTTTATCAAGGCCAGTAGATTTGTTTACAAGCGACCGATTTTTTTGAAATCCTTCAAAACAGTCCTTTATTTAAATGTGAGACACATGCAGAGTGTCTCAAAGTGTACATGTAACATAAAGGTAAATTAATTTTATTTCTCAATGTAATACAATAGTCTAGCATTTATTTTGCAATTATTTGACGAATCGAACGAATTCGACTTGTTATTCAATAATAGCCCCAACGTGGTCTGTGACGTTTCTAATATTGAATATTTGAATTAGTGACCGCTTTCAAATGTTAAAAACAACAATTGCTCTCAACCATTTTTCATGCCGATTGTCGCGCTTCATGTGAAACTGCAATAAACGTTTCCGGCATGAAGCTTTGGCTAACCTGAGTTAAAATCCCAGCTATCCTTCTCAATTTTCTGAACGAAATGGGTCATATAATTATACTAATCAGTGATATAGCAAGTATGTTGAAGATTCTTCTTTACTCACCCCCGTAAGGCAAACAACGAAGGTTGTCGTTACAGCATTTGTCATCATCTGTTTTACAAAAGTCCATCATTTCTATGCACTTTTTTCCATCTCCTAATGCAGTCCCCTCCGCCTCAAAGTACATTTCATTATCTAGGGAATAAATTAAATTGAATTCCACATTTCTTGTTATAGAGACGCAAATTGCAAAATGATTCTTGAGACCCGATCAACCAGCTCTGTTTGTGCGTTTCGTATTGGCAGCCCTAAGCCCCTAACGCAAGATTTGCGGAGATGATTGACAATTGTGGGAACGAATCAGCAACATAACTTACCTGCTAACGCTGCTCCAAAAAGCCGGGGCGTATAGGGAGCATTAAGGGGGCTCGATCAATACAGTTTTTAAAAAAATGGAAAATTCCCGATTTAGATGCGTATTTTTGGGCAATTATTACTTGTTGATATACAAACTTATATAAAACAAGATCTAAAGAGTTTGAATTTTTGCACAAAAGTGACGCACTGCCGTTGTTATGGCAACAATGACGTTTCAAGATGGCGGATATTTTGGCTTTAAAGTAATTTAACTCGTAAACGACATCGGTGACCCCCAATTTTATTCCAAAACATGATTTTTCTTAGTATATTCAATTATTTTGACAACCTAAAAAAAGTTTGTGCAGCCCAAACTTTTTAAATACGTAGGTGATTATTCATAATACCGACATTGCCTTCCACAAAAATTGCACTTCTCATAACAAAAGGTGCACTTTTGTCTCTTTGAAAAAATTGGGGGGAGGGCGTGCTCCCTGTCCCCCTCCGGTCCCTACTCCCTGCAAAAAAGGCTCTGTTCGTTAATTACTTATACTTTGACCTTTCAAAACTGTTGCAACTGTATACGTAGAAGCATTAGATGCATTACAAATCCATATTTATAGCCTGTCAATACTCAAAAACAGGAAACGATTGTGTAAATACTTACTTTACTCTACTTCCTAACTAGAAAATACATATGCATGCAGAAACCCTCGCCTTGCTGACAAAACCATTGTATTTTCCGAACATGAAGTATCTAAAGTAGTTGTCATGGTAACACGATAATTTTTAAGAATATTCTTACAAATGAAAATTGAAAAATCGCCTAAAAATATCACTTTTAAATACAAAATTATCAATTTCCCAACATATATATGTTAGGTATGTTATTATACGTAATATAAGTAAAATTCAACCACAAACGCTTCTTTATAAAACCAAACTGCCTTTAATTAAATGGCTTTATCGATAAACTTTGAGCTTGCAATAAAATGATTTCAAATTCTCGCTCGGAAATGACTTTGTTTTCTTTTTTATTTAAAAAATTCATAAAATCAATATTTAAAACAAACTTACCTTCGTTAACGTCGGCTCCAATTCTTTTAGCCGATTCTTTCGCCCTTTCTTTCTGAGAAACCTTTTGAAATTTACAAAATCTTGCCAAAATGCGAGCAAAAATGAAATATATTTGCAAGGAATTTATCAATAAATACAATCATCAAATCAAAAAAATTAATGAAGAAATGTTTGCTATTTCGCTGTCGTCATGCAGTCGTTATAATGCAAACTTTAAATTGGACCAATCAGTGTCCGCTATTCATGACAGTCCGCCATATTTTTGAGATCAGTGAGGATGACCACACACCCAACACTCGAACACCGTTGGTGACCCACGCCCGCGATAATTGATGAACTTTAGACTCGGGTGTATATAGCCAGGGGGAATTAGTACCCTCGCACGGCGCTTCACGCCGTCGGCTCGGGGAATTATGAGGACATTATGGAACATTAACGAAACTTTACTTTGACAACTAACAGTTAATCGAAATAATTTTGATTCTAAACAACAAAAACAGAGAATGTTCCATATCAATAGCCAATAGGTCCAATGATTTAACAAAGGGAAAACATTACCTAAAAGAGTAAAAATCTATTAACGATAATACATACTTGCACTCGGGCGGCTGTAGGCAAAACCAAAGAGAAAAACCAACAGCTACACAGAAATTTTCACCATTTTGAATTGATAAATCTGTAATACTTCTTTATAGTTGTTCGATAGACTTCGTAAACGTTTCTTGAATTTTGCCAATTGACTACAGGGTCGTTGTGCGCGAAGCTATATAATAACAAGTTGACACATGCGCAGTTAGTGGTTGCATGACGGTGTGACATCTTAACTGTTTTCTTAAGTGCCGCCTTTTCAGAATTTACGTGCAGGACTCACTGAAAACAAAAAAAATATTTACCAAATAATTAGCCAGCCAAGTTTATTACGGTTACCGAACTATTCTGAGTGTTCAATGGTGTTGCTTAAGTACCTCACTTCATTTCTTAATCGTTCGTTAACCGAAAACAAGTGTTTACTCAATAATTAGCTAACGACTGTGCTAATGTTTACAACGGTTGTTCTTCAACAGACATAATGACCCGAACGATGCGTGTTCATACTGATAAAGATTACAAGACCAATAAGACCTATACATTTTTCAGCAACTGCCTCCACAATTCAGGAAATGCCGTTTCGCAGTCCTAAAGTTCAATTTCTTCCTGCCCTCGGATCCCCTAGAATTAGGAAATCACAAATTATTAATTCCCTTCCCCTCCACCCCCACCCCCAATAATAGTATAATAAGGACAGATTATACAGAACTAATAGTTCCTAACAAAATATGGGTAGAAATGGGCATAAACACGCATTTAGCTGATAAGGTGCAATAATTCGTTACTTTGTTCGATTCTGTGCTAAGATAACTGGGCATCCGGGTTATGTCACAATACAGCGAGTTAATTGGATGTCTTTAATAGTTCCATTTTACATTTACATTAACAAGAGTGGTAACTACTGGGGTTGTGCATCATTTAACAATTTTGCGGCCATGCATCAAATCTATAGTACTTAGTTCACATAACCCAGATTCGCGAATATTCCTCCATTAAATTAAATTTTGGGAAAGTAAACGCGACGTGCTTGGAAATGCGGCAGAAATATAATTTCCAATAGCTATGAATCAAGGTTGCTGGCCAATTTCGTCCTTCAAAACGTCACTCTTGCGCCACCTCAAATTTAAGTTGTCAATTAAGTTCGCCGCATGACTGGAGCAGTGTTTGAAACGGGCCTTATGTACCACTTGTTGCTGCATTTTATCGGTTGCAGAGATATTCAAATTGGAAAAGAGATGGCCTTCGTTCGGTCTTCAAATAAGCGTGTAAAAACAAACATGCATTAAACATTAGCTCCGTGGTAGGTTCCCAGCGGGCAAAATGACGTTTATCCAACGTTGAATCAACGTTGGAAATGACCTTCCAGACGTTGGATAGACGTTGAAAAAGGGTTGACTATACAAATTGGATCGACGTTACTGTATCGACGTTGAAACAACGTTGAAATTAGGTTGCCAATCTCATCAACCATAATTCAACGTTGAATCCACGTTAAAACAACGTTGAGATTGGTTCACAAATCGACGTCGTACATTTAACCATGAATGAACGTTAATTCAACGTCTGTTGGCTGCTGTTGAACCAATGTTTGTAAAACAACGTCAGAGCAACGTAGATATTAGGTTGTCGACGTCGCAACCTTTTTTCTACCTAATTCAACGTTGAAACAACGTCGTGTGCCCGGTGGGTTGTTGGATGCAATGAAAATGAATAGTACACGGTTTGTGCCTGTAATGTAGCATAGCCGGGAAAAGCAAAAAAATTTTCAAATCCCAGTTTAATAAAAAAACTTGACAGATTTCTACGTGGCCTGTCCTCAGAAGCTCCAAACGTAGCATATTATTACCAACGTCACTACTCAATAAGTCCCACACTAACGGCATATTTACCCCCAGGCCGAAGCGAAGTAATGACCCCACGTTTTACGTCTGTATACACTAACTATGGCTTTTTGGTACGGATTTGCAAAACCAGCTCAACTAATGAAAAAAATTAAATAACTTAAAGTACATGAACGTACTTCATTAACCTTGTGGCAAATCATATTGGCAATAATATGTCACGTGGAGTGACCTTATATCTGATAAAGCATGAGGCATTATATACTTGTTCATCCCAATTAGTATGATTATATAATGGTTCATTCTAATTAGTATTTTTTGCAGTTGTATTTTAAGCTATTCAAAATACTCGTTGTCGTGTTTTATCAGACATAAAACGCTCGGCTGCGCCTCGCGTTTTATATCTGATAAAACACTCCTACTCGTGTTTTAATTAGTACAAAAATAACTAGAAAAAAAGGACCTTAAAAATATGCTAAAGTAAATATAATAAAATAAGACGCATGCAGGCTCAGGCGTACACTCGTGTCCAAAGGGTTACCATTACTTGAGGGTCACGATTATGCTTGATGTGGGAAGCGTGAAGCTATAATCGTTACTATAGTAAGGCTATGTAGTTACGCTGTGCGGATATTAGGGAGCTTAATTAAACCAATTAAGATGCATCTAATCTGCAACGGAAGCTATAGTTTACTTTGATTTTCTCGTTTCCCTGGCTTTGTTTAGCAACAATAATCCATAGTTTACACCCATGACGTGAAACTGGGATACAGTAATAGCGGTATATACTTTCTTGTCAAGTCCGCATCGTAGATTTGGTTATCTTGAGCTCCCTACTACTGTATATGCAACGCGGCGGTCAGATTGGTACATTATTCAGTTGACATTTCCTGAGACATCGATATACTGTTACTGGTACATTAAAAGATGCAACAGTTTTCATGTATCGAAGCCAATGAAAATGAGAAACTGATTAATATTCATAAAAACTTAGCACTACTGAAAAAAGACCATTCTCAAATAATATTTAATAGTGAACTGTCAAAGAACAATCACAGAGTAGACACTATAACCGTTTATGAACTGTGGCCTGGCAAAGGGTGATTTATTTTTGGCCAATAAACAAACAGGATTTTGTCAGGTGACCAAGTGGTGTGATCAGTGTATACAAGCTCTATCCAGGTTCTACATTTTCAGGTCAGTGGTAATAGCATATTCTGGCCAACCAGTAGTTGGCGACAAGATTGCCAATCTCATGAGATGTAGTCATGTTACAGTACATAGGTATTAGCAGACGTAAATATAAGACATTTTAACGTAAACTTACTACTCAAAATCGAATATTGAGCAAAGCGCTCAAGTTAGATATACTTAATATAAAAGTTAAACTTAAAAGTACGGCAAATTAAAATTTATCACGCAATTAACTCGGAATACTCGAAAAATAACCATTTACATTAATTATCACGCATTATGCCATATAGCGCATCATATTTATAAATTATATAGCCGTTTATGTATGTAACGTAGACTTGCAGTGTTAGTTTGATGTATGTATACTGTATATGGAATAAATATTATTATTATTACTACTGATATATTTATATTATATATTTTGCTGTGTTGATTAGTCTACGCAGTAGTTCAGTATCACTGTATCCGTGATATATATCCTAAAAGTCTTTCATGATCAAATGAACCCGACATTCGTATTAGATCAAACAGAACAGCTCAAGTATTAAATAGTAATACTATAGAACAGAAAATACTTTCAATTTCGGGTTGTATGATTTACAGACTGCAGTGTTTTAAGTTTTGACCATAGCTTTCAAAAAACTGGTTGTAGCGCATGATTCGTATATTGTTCGATGTTGTTTATTATAATACCACTTGAGACATTTCGGTATTTAGTATCGTTTATAAACATATTTGTACGTCCAAAAACATCGATGATATATTTTGCTATCACGAGGATACTGAGAATTTAATATTACACACACTGCACCAAGCAATGTTGCGGTGTAGGAATGTCTTCTGTGCATATATATAATATATTTTGCATCTTGCGCATTGTTTGTAAACTGATGGCTGCCTTGTATTGTCGGACCGATAAATTGGAAATTTAAAAATATCCACTAAGGGTTGCGAAGCGCGTGATGACGTAACCGCGTGAGAGAAACACTTCAACCATATCACAGATGATAGATTATACCAGATGAATAACTATGTATCTATCCCTATGACTTTCGTGTCCGCGATTTTCGCGAGGCTATCACGTCAGATGATGCGTGCGACACTTGGCTTACTGCCAAAATGCGTGATTGCTCACGTTTCATAGCTCAGTGCGTGGATTACACTTACTGCCAAAATGGCGGCCAACGCGTGCTCATAAAAAATCGCGGACACAATTTTGGCTGAGTGAGTCATCTGGTATTATCTATCATCTGTGACCATATCGTGCTATAGCGTAGCATATTTCTTTGTTTCCTGAGGTTGGGTCGAATTAATGACTTCGACACATCCGAAAGAAAATGTTACGGTACGGAACGGAACGAATTAAAATGGAAGACGTCCTTAACTGCGTGAAAATTATTGAATTGTGTATATACTGCAGTACCTTTTACACGAAGCAACTCATAGCCCGCTGTATAGTCGTCTGCATCTCACTATAGCCGATAATAACGGATTATTAAAAATTCCATTTGTGGGTTAAGCCCTGATTTTCACAGTTAACATATGATAGGAACAGTCATAAAGAGCCAGTCATTGGGAGCGATTTTTTATAATTATTTGTGGTTCTAACGGCAAGATATGCTTTCTCTCCATCTACCATTTTTTTATAGTGTACTACAAGACTTCAAGTTGCAATCACATGCTTTGCATTGTCAGTGAAATGAAGCCGTATGGGGATTGTATATTTACAAGCCTTTCCTCTTAGTCATATGTGCTTTCCACTTTTGTCGTATGGATTTCGTTGCACCACATACCGCTACTTTTCAGCCACCAACCAAATTACATATCAGGAATAAATTAAACGAACAATTGGAAATTCAAAAATAACGTATTCCGACAAAGATAACTACAGGCATACCGCGAGTTTTCTGTAAATGGGCATAAACATGCATAAGCCGATAAGGTGCAATGACTCGGTGTTTTGTTTGTTTTTGTGCTACGGTAACTGTGCATGCGGGTTTTGTGAAAATGCACCGTATACATATACATTTAATAGTTCCATTTTACATTTACTTTACCAACGACAGTGGTATAAAATATATTCTAGGTTTGTGCATAACTTATTAATTTGGCGGCAACGTCTGCGCATGAATAGCGGATTAATACAAATTGGGTAATTAGTTTACATAGCGCAGGTTCGCGAATATTCCTTCATTAAGTTATATTTTATCATTTTAAATACGACATTTCTGCAAATGCGGCATAAATATGAATTTTCAATAGTTATGAATAAAAGTTCCTAAAGAGTTTCGTTCTTCCAAACGTTACTCTTCCGCCACAATCAATTTAAGTTGTCAATTAAGTTCGCCGAATGAATGGAGCGGTGTCTGAAACGGGCCTTTTTCATACAAGTACCACTTGTTGCTGCATTTTATCGGTTGCAGGGATATTCAAATTGGTGAATAGATGGCCTTCGTTCGGGTTTCACATAAGCGTTGCAAAACAAACATGTATATAGATGTCGACGAGCCGCATTAAAGATTAGCTCCGCAGTAAGTTGTTGTATGGATTCAACGAAAAATAGAATAATACACGTATTGTGCATGTAGCATAGCCGAGAAAGGCAAGAAAATTTTCAAATCCCAATTTAATTTAATTTAATTTAATTGATAAAAAAATACTTGATAGTTTTTACGTGCCCGTGCTCAGAAGCTTCAAACATAGCATATCATTAGCAACGTCACAACTCAATAAGCCTCACACTAACGGCACATTTAGGATTTGCCCATAAAAATCTTTTCATTTATTTAGATTACGCGTGCACACTACGCCGAAGCGAAATAATGACGCCACGTTTCACTTCTGTATATATTAGCTAGGGCGTCAGAGTTTCGAAACGCATCCACAAAACGAGCTCAACTATGGAAAAAATTTAAATAAAAATAAAAGGACCTTAAAATTATTTTTAAAAGTTCAAAAGTGGAACAAAATAAAGACGATGCCGCTGTTCACACGATGACGCCAAGCGCTCTGTCTCCTTCTCACTCCGTTTATAAGCCGTGCTCAAAAGAAAAAATAACGGCAAAATGAGATTTTTATAAACAATTTCGCTCCGGCATAGTGTGAACGCAATGGCTAATTGTGACTTTTCCGCGCCGTTTTCTAACTGCTTCGTCGTAGTGGTGAACATAGTCTTTAAATATCCAAGTGAGTGACTAATTAGTTCCCAGGGTAATGAGAAGCGCGTGATGACGCAACCGCGTGTTAGAAACACTTCAACCATATCGTGCTATAGCGTAGCATATTTATTTGTTTCCTGAGGTTGGATCGAACTAATGAGTTCGACACATGCGAATGAAGAAAATGTTACGGTGCGGAACGAATTGAACGGAAAACGACCTTAACTGCGTGGATGTTATTGAATTGTGAACTGTTATGCCTTTTACACGGCGCAACTCGCAGCCCGCTGTATATGTAGTCGCCCGCATTATTTGCGTGTTAAGTTCTGATTTTCACAATATGGTAGGAACGGTCATAAAGAACTAGTCATTGGGTCAGATCTTTTACAACTATTTGGTATTCTAAAGGCAAGATATGCTTTTTCTGCATTTACCATATTAGTATTGTACTGTACTCGATTTCAAGTTACAATCGCATGCTTTGCATTGTCAGTGAAATGAAGCCGTATTGGGATTGTATTTACGAGCCTTTCCCCTTAGTCGTATCTGCTTTCCACCTTTGTCCTGTGAATTTCGTTGCAACTGTTTCCGTTACTTTTCAGCCACCGACCAAATACATTTAAGGAATAAATGAACAATGAGACAATGATAACTATACAGTAGGCATGCCACGAGTTTTATATAAATGAGCACAAACACGCATTAGCCCGACAAGGTCAATGATTCGGTGTTTTGTTCGATTCTGTGCTACGGTAACTGTGCATGCGGGTTTTGTAAAAACGCATCGTATACATTTACCTTTAATAGTTCCATTTTACACTTGCATTTCCAACGACAGTGGTAAATATACTAGGTTTGTGCATAACTTATCAATTTTGCGGCAACGCGTGCGCATGAATAGCGGATTAATAGCTACAATTTGGGTACTTAATTTACATAGGCCAGATTCGCGAATATTCCTTCATTTTGTCCATTAAGTTAAATTTTGTGATTGTAAACGCGACGTGCTTGGAAATGCGGCAGAAATATAAATTTCCAATAGTTATGAATCAATGTTGCTGGACAATTTCGTCCTTCTAAACGTCATTGTTGTCAATTAAGTTCGCCGAATGAATGGAGCGGTGTCCGAAACGGGCCTTTTTCATACAAGTACCACTTGTTGCTGCATTTTATCGGTTGCAGGGATATTCAAATTGGTGAAGAGATGGCCTTCGTTCGGGTTTCACATAAGCGTTGGAAAACAAACATGTATTTAGATGTCGACGAGCCGCATTAAAGATTAGCTCCGCAGTAAGTTGTTGTATGGATTCAACGAAAAATAGAATAATACACGTATTGTGCATGTAGCATAGCCGGGAAAGGCAAGAAAATTTTCAAATCCCAATTTAATTTAATTGATAAAAAATACTTGATAGTTTTTCACGTGCATGGCCTGGGCTCAGAAGGTTCAAACATAGCATATCATTACCAACGTCACAACTCAATAAGCCTCACACTAACGGCACATTTAGGATTTGCCCATAAAAATCTTTTCATTGATTTAGATTACGCGTGCACACTACGCCGAAGCGAAATAATGACGCCACGTTTCACTTCTGTATATATTAGCTAGGGCGTCAGAGTTTCG